TGGTCAATATCACCATGAGTTCCTTCTTTTGGAAGCCAGTAAATGTCTAATGTTTTGGAAGAGTCCAGAGGAGAACTTTGATTTCTAGAAAGACCAAATGGGAAGAAACAGATACAGTCTCCAGAGTTCCATATATAGTGTAGCTATTCTCAGCAGGATTCCAATCCAATGTAGATTTTTTCTAGCCTGCGGAGGACATTTTCAAACGCCCAGGGCTGACATTTAGCTGGTACCCATTTGGTATGAATGTACTTTGTTAAAATCACTTTTATACCAGTTGGTAATTACCTCTTGTCCTGAGCCCCCTGGATACTGAACCCTTCAACGCTGACACCCTGCCTTCCACAAAAACATCCTATGATTTAGCAACTAAAAAGTTAATGCCTGACACAGGATGAGGCTCTGACTATGCAGAGCCATTCTGAGTGGACACTGGTTAAATATCTTGAATATCACCCTGCAAATAGCGCTTGTTTCCAGGTATGTTAGGTATTAATTATTTTCTGGAAAGCAATCTGACTGTGCTAGCTTTGAGAATGAGAGCATTTACCTCCCTCGGTTTATTTACCTCCCTGGGGTTTATTTTCCTCATCTGTCAACTGGTAGAGTGCCTTGGCTTAGGGTTCAGACTGGGTTCCAGAGTTGCCTCAAGGGGAGATTGCTGATGAATAGAAACCTGGCCCCACTTCCTGCAGAGCAGCTCCTCCTCCAGGCCTACTCACTGGGGTCCCCATTTCCTCCATTGTTTGGAGAAAGGAGTTTGAAAACTGAAAACTGAATTTTGCTGCTAAAAAAAAGTTTGGAAAAAAACCCCAAAAAACTAGCTTCAATAAGCACTAATCTTTCATCCTTTCTAAAAACTGTAAAATTCAATTATGACTACAATTAACAGAAAGAATGGCATCTGTCTACCAAGAGCAAATAGCTACATTGGGCCTACTCGGTACCAGGCATTGTTCCAAGTGCTCTGCGTGTTTGAACTCACTTCACCCACAGAACTATGCCTATGTTATAATTATTTTTACAGTTATTAAAGTCCAAAAAGTGTATGTTCAGAGGTATTTATTTTCACTTTTATAATTTTCTTAGATACATTTGAGGTTATAATTTATTCAAAGCTAACATTCCTACAATGACTATTTAATGAAATGTAATCATGATAACGTCTTTCTTATATGTTCCAATTACAGATTTCTATGCATATTTTAAAGAGCGTTTTGTCTTTAACATTTGGATTTTATCTTGACATCATTAGATTAACAGTATGTACTATACTTTATAAATTATACATTAGACTATGTATGTACTTTCTCTGTGGCTTATACCAGTGGTCCCCAACCTTTTTGACACCAGGGACTGGTTTCATGGAAGACAGTTTTTCTATGGACCAGGGCAGGGGATGGTTCTGGGATGATTCAAGCCCATTACATTATTGTGCACTTTATTTCTATTATTAGATTGTAATATGTAATGGAATAATTATACAACTCACTATAAGGTAGAATCAATGGGAGCCCCGAGCTTGTTTTCCTGCAACTAGATGGTCCCATCTGGGGGTGATGGGAGACAGTGACACCAAAGTGTGTTGCTTATGTCCAGTTCACCCTGCAATCTCGTTTGGTTGCTGTCACTGCAATCTCAGGATATTCTGCCTTGACTTTAACCCAGAACGTATGGGGATTTGAAGTTCTCTCAAACATACATTTAAGGACACTAGATGCAGCTATACAATTGAAGTACATCAACTCACTTGCCACTATAAAGCCTGCCACCAGAGGCAGCTTAATTGTCACTTGCCACACACTGATAGGATTTTGATAAGAGCCTGTAAGTAATTGATTTATTATGGTCTCTGCACAGTCAAACCTCTCTGTTAATGTTAATCTGTATTTGCATCCACTCCCCAGTGACTGCATCACTACCTCAGCTCCACCTCAGATCATCAGGCATTAGATTCTCACAAGTTGCATGCAACCTAGATCCCTTGCAGGCACAGCTCACAATAGGGTTGGTGCTCCCATGACAATTTAATGATGTCGCTGATTTGACAGGAGGTGGAGTTTAGGCAGTAATGCAAATGATGGGCAGCGGCTGTAAATACCGATGAAGTTTCCACTCACCTGCCGTGCAGCCCGGTTCCTAACAGGCCATGGACCCGTACTACAGGAATGTCTGAAAGATGCACTGTGTACTGTACGAGTGTCAGTCTGTGGCCTGGGGGTTGGGGACCTCTAGCTTATACTGTTTGTTTCTTCACTTTCAACCAGACCTGGAAATCAGTTTTTAATGCCAGTCCGTGGCTGTGGCTCTGGGTAGCTGTAAATGCGCTCAGACATTTCCTGAGCTCCAGCTCCTGACTGCCATGGCTTAACTGGGATAAATAGCTGAATGCAAATCTGAGCATGAAATTCCTCGTCACTGTCCTTTTCCGGAACATGAGCTTATGGAAGGCATCACGGGCCCTGCCTGCTCCCTCCTGCCTCCACTGCTGCGCTTCCGAGGCACTGGGTTGCTCAGGATCTTGTGCTTTTCCCTCCCAGGGCCTGGTCCCTGTGCTCCTGGATGGAAGGGAGTTACTGGCCATAGTTCCCTGGTTCCCTGGAACAGCCTAACTTGGGTCCTTGCTGGTGGACGGCACTGTCTTTTCTTAGTGAGTCCAACAGAGTTGGGAAATGGAAACTATATCATGTGAGAAAGTAAAGCTGCAAGGGATGAGGAGGAGAAGGTTCTGAGGGTTCCTGTGTTTTAATAAAGTGGCAAAGCACAGGAGAGAGGGATTCCACTAATTCCTGTAGCCTTTACAGGCAGGAACAGAGCTGGTGTCAGGCAGGCTCAGGAGGCTGTGTGTCAATGAAGAGAAGGAAGCTTTCCTGGTTACTGAGCGATCCACACTGAGGCTGTATCCACACAGTCATTGTATGATAACTCATCAGGGATGACAGATGAATCCAAACAGGATGTGTAGCTTGACCAGATGAGCTTCATGCAGCATTAACTATCCATCCAAGACTTCAACTATTTTGTCTTAATGATCCCCCAAACAGACGTTAACTTGTCAGTCTTGACTTGAAGTTAAAAAACAAAAGACCTCATTTCTTGTATCTGTAAAGCACCAGCCCATTCTGAGATTTGACAGTTTCTTGCTGATGTCTTGCTCAGACTTTTTCAATAAATATTGAAATGATTAGAATTAAATGGAATTCTTACATATTTGTATTTGTTCATCTCCTGTCTGTATTTTGGGTTGAGGGGATAGAGTTCAAGGAAAAGGGTAAGAGACGTGGTTGGTTTATGTCTGGAGTCAAAGCCTTATGTTAATGAGGAAGCTCTGTCAGGGGAATTTCAGATATTGGCCAGTGGCAGTGGTGGGAACCTGGGGGTTGGTGTCCTTGAAATAATATCACAGAGGTGGTAAGTGGCCAGTGTGCCTGGATGACCCAAAGTTGAGTGAGGTCTCTTCTGGAGGCTGACTGCCCAAGCAGCCTGAAGAATCACAGAGATACTTTTTGGTTGGTATTATCCTTCTCCCTTCTCCCCAGAGCTATGCCTGATTTGGGCTGAGACAGCAGAAACTACACAATGCATGTTTCAGACATTCCTGCTTTAATATGTTAATATCTCGCTCACTCTCCAGACCAGGAATCTCATATCTTGTCCTACCCTTTTCCACACAAAAAGAAAACTACATTACATATAGAATATTTAAGTGTAGCTGTTACTTATCCCATTGTCACTAGCCATGCTGACTTCTTTTTTGTACGTGTGTCTTGCCTTGACACGCTTTCTTTATTGAAGACCATGGAAAAATGGATTTCTTTGTGATATTTTGAAAAATGGCAAATTGAAGAGATTTTTATCTCTGGAGACTGAGCTTTTACATCATAGAGTACTTCTCTCCCCTGATGGCTAACCCAATCACATAGTTCCACAATAAACAAGATAAATCTAGATTAATAAGACAGTATGTACAGAAAAATCCTTTTACTCTTTGTGGCTTCTTTCCCTGTGCCTTGAAAATGTTCATTAAAAATCTCCTACTTAGTCTGCCTCATTATATTGGTTTACTCATCTTGGTCTCCCTATTTTAATGATTTAAATCACAGTTTGAAAAGATTTCTTGTTTGGAACATCCTTGGCCAGGCCATTACTTTGTAAAGTAGGGAAGTCTGGAGGCCCTAGTTGTTCTTTTGAACTTAGTTCATAAAATGATTGTTAAACACTGATCTATCAGCTTTTCTCTTCTCTTTATCAAAATTAATAATTCACATGAAAGCCACCTATTTAAATGGAGTCTCAGCTGGGTACTGTGGTTTATGCCTGTAATCCCAACACTTTGGGAGGCTGAGGCGGGTGGAATGCTTGAGTCCAGGAGTTCCAGACCAGCCTGAGCAACACGGTGAAATCTGTTTTCTACAAAAATTACAAAAATTAGCCAGGTGTGGTGGTGCACAACTGTAGTCTCAGCTACTGGGGAGGCTAAGGCGGGAGGATCACTTGAGCCTGAGAGGCAGAGGCTGCAGTGAGCCATGATTATGCGACTGTACTCCAGCCTGGTGACAGAGCCAGTCTCTAAATAAATAAATAAATAAATAAATAAATAAATAAATAGAGTTTCATTGTTAGCAACTTATACAACCTGGAAAAATCAACTGAACTGTAAATATTGGCATGGATGAGTGCATAAATACTTTCAAAAAGAATTACAACTTCTCTGTAATAACCATCAAGACTATTTAGCTAACAGGAGGTCCCTGGAAGACCTTTCAGATCTGTCTGTAAAAGAAAAGGAACCCTAGCAATTCACAAGACAACTCAGCAACGTTGCATCTGCTCCTGGGGCAGGTAACGAAATCCAGTTTTAAATTTTGCTCTAAACAGTTAAGGAGATAATCAAGTCAGCTTGGGATTGGGTTGTGCACAGGAAGGCTGCAAAAAGATTACAAAATAGCCTCCCCCTGGCAGAAATGTAAAAAAGCCATTCCATGATTTTTTTTTTTCAGTTCTGCCAACGATTCATCTTCAGAAGACAAGCAGATGAGGAGACAAAACCTACTGATGTGGGTACCCAAGCAGGAACCCCCCTCTTGCACCGGCGACTCAAGTGGGAAGAAGGTAGGAAATCAACAGCACAGGGGAAAGAAAGGGAAAAGGAGTTTGGAAACAAGATAAGACAGGCTTCTTTTGAATAATGGAGAGGACTCTTAGAAAAAAGAAAAGAAACAGAATAAATTTGTATTCATTGATTCCATTTCAGCGCAGCAAATGCTCATTGGCTTTAATCAATTGCTTTCTTACAGAGTTTTGTCCATATGTATGTGACAAAATCCGCGGTCATTTAATGACAGACTTAGAATGTGTGCTGAGAATGAAACCGTTGAGATTTCCTTGTCTTTCCTCCTTTCAGTAAAAATCAGGAAGGGGAGAAAGGGAGGGGGTGAGGGTGGGACAAGGAGACCAATATTTTATAAAAGTGACAACACGTTTTACATTTGAATTATTTATTTTCCGTGATGGAATTTCAAGTGGGTTATTGCAAGGAAAGGAAAAACTGGAAATTGACCAAACATGGTCCAGGCTGGGGATGACGAGTTTAGTAGGGGCTTTAATGGGGCCTCCTAAGCGATTCAGGAGAGAATGAATCTCTCACAGGTTCCCTTCTCATGGGATCACTGACTAAGCTTCCCCAAATCAGGGTGCAGCAACAAAATCAGGGTGCAGCATCTTTTAAGTGGGCTTAAGAAGACCCACTTAAAAGCTTATCATAGCGAGACGTTGAGAAGACAAAGTTTTAGATTTTTATAGAGCAGAAAATGATTCCTTTTGAACCAAACAAAAGACAAGATATATGAGATGAGGGAAAAAAGCTTCTGTCTAAAAGCCCGACGTGTGTAGGACTTTCCCTCCACTGTTGTTTTCCCTTTGGTTTGGTAAGAATGTGGTGAGTGAAGCAAAAAGAAAAGGCGAGAAGAACCACAGAGACCCCCTCGAAGCGTAAAACGCTGTTAATTAAGAGTGAGAACGTTCAGTGGCCTGTGACCCTCCCTTTCCTAGGCCACCATCCCCAAGGTTTGGCTCTTCCCTGCCTTGCTCCAGGTGGTCCAGGCAAGGGCCTGGATGGGGGTACTGAGGGTGGGGGAGACAGCGCTGGGTCCCTCTGTGCCACTTCCTCCCTGTGCTGGTGTTTCAGCAGCAATCTGCTCCTCTGCGATGGCAGCCTGTCCACAGCTCTAGTGCCCACAGACTTGGGGACCCCCTTCTTTCCCCTTGTCTGACTCTTCAGGCCTACAGTGGTGAGGGCTTCCCACTGTGCTTATCTCTGGGTACCTCAGCCTCTCTGGCTGTATTTTCTTAACCCTGTTCCCTACTCTGTAAACAGACCCTACTTTAAGTTCACCTCAGCCCTCTTAATGAGATTCTCTTTCATGGGATTCTGACTGATAGAGTGGGGCTAAAAAGATCTCAAACCTGAAAGAAGCTGAGAGGAGCTGAAATTTTGAGTTGCAGAAACCTGGATGCTTGCCACGATATAGAGGAGGGCAAACCATTTATTATTTATACAATTTCAGGCAAATAGGTTATAGAAATTCCAGGTACAAAAGATCTGAAGAGATGACTAAAAACCAACTAGGATTAATTATATTAATCATGGACTTTTAAAATCATCACAACCACCAGCTGCTCAATTACAAAGTCAAAAAAGACTTCAAGAATTATTCAAAACTAAATCATGTCAACTCTCTAGAATGATTTATTCAAATTTAAGTAGGCCAGACTCACAATTTGGAGCACAGCTCTTTAATACATATAGATTCTAATTTTCTAAAAGAGAAAGAAAAATGGATTTGTTACTTGACTATTAGAAAATTCGTTGCATATTTAAAAAGCAAGAGAACTTAGCTGTCTGCCTGGTTCCAGTCTGAGGTATAAATGTTTACCTCATCATATATTAAGTATCTATAGATTATGCTCAATACTTTTTGCAAAATGTAGCATAAAGTCACTACTCATGCCATTAAAATAGACAACAACTATGTAATTTCAGAAAATGCAAATAAGTTTTCCTAGCTTTTGATTTTTTTTTTTTTTTTTTTTTTAGCTTTGGCCTTATCCTTTCAGGTAGTGGTTGGCATTATAGATTAATTACTTAATACACTTTTGTTGCCTTAGAATTCACTGAGTTGAAATGGAGTGAGAACTACGATGCTCTCAGAATATCTTTAAAATGTGCTGCAAAGAAGCCTGGGTGAGTAGAAGAAAATAAAAGGAATGGTGGATACAAGGAAAGGTTAAAATGAGGTAGGAACTAAATATTATACTGGCACTTGGGGTTACTATTTATGAATTGTTACTTTCCGGCAATGCTCTACTCTTTTGTATCTTCTTTGGGACAGAAAATTCCATAAGAAAGACCTTTCCAGGAAGAGCTTGTCCCTAAGCTTATGGGCTCAGGGTTTGAACAAAGCATCTCTTCCAAGACCTTGTGAATAATATGCATATGGTCCATATAACTTCACAAAGTAAAGTTAAATGAACGCATTCTTTTCTTGCTATTAGAGCCCGTTTATCGCACTAGCTGCTGGTGATTTGAGCGCTCCTTTCCAAGCCTCTTGAGAGTTCCGCTCTAACAACACTGCCCCCTAGTGTTCTCTCGCTTTGGTGCAATGTGAGTAAAAAAACCACAAGATTGACTTTCAATACACACACACTGTATTCATCAGTGTTTTGCTATAGAGAATGTAAGATATCTTTCTGTAAATTATTTATTTAATCTTATTTATTTATCCCAATAAGATATTAAAGCATGCTAAGCTGGAATGGTTTTTTTTTTCATAAATGGGTAAAGGCAAAAGTAAAAAGTTTAGATACTATGAAATAATTCCTGATCTAATAAACGGAGACAAATTACCTAATATTTTTGGGCACCTATTATGTTAGACATGTAAGAAATACTGTATTAAAAGTGAAGTCTGAGTAAGCCTAATTCAGTACTTAACTTTTAAAGTTAGAAACATTCTAAATATATTTATTAATTTGATCTCAAATTTGGGGAAGATAGTAAAGATGGAAGAGAGAAAAGGGAGAATTTTAAAATTTTACATATCTAAGTGGTTTGGTATTATGTTTTAATTGAAAAATATTTTAAACAAGTCCATTCTGATAAGATGTAGAAATTCTACTTGCAGCTTTAGGACAAAGTGAATTTAAAACAAGGGCTTTCTACTTGAAATGTGGCCAGTGTGACTAAGAAATGGAGTTTCTAAATTTTCATTTCATTTTAATTAACTCCATTGATTTAAATTTTAAAACTGATACTCAAATCAGTCATTGAAAACTTTTAAGTATGTTTGTAACAACTTAGGTATCTGAATCTATTTTTTTCAAATGTAAATTTTAAGATATCTACTTAGATTAAATATTCCTAATAAAAATAGCGCATTTGAATTGCAAGTGCTGTAAGTGAAAAATGTACACCACATTTCAAATGTTTCATACAAAGCCAAAGGAAAGTCATATTTCTCATTAATAACTGTTATATTTAGTACATGTTGAAATTGATATTTAGATCTATTATGTCAAACAAAATATATTATTAAAATTAATTATATTGGTAAAAAAATAAAAGTTTTCTAATAGTATAGAAATCATAACTATGTATTTATCTATCTGAACAAACTGAGAGAATTAAGTTTTCAGATTATTAAAAATTGAAAATATATCTGTTTTCCATGGTGCAGTTCACATACCACTGGTGATAAATTACTTTAGCCAATGCAAATATAAGGCTTTTTATTGTTATGCATTATCTAAGCAATAGTGAAAATGAAACTGAGATATCAAATCTATGATTTTGCAGATACTGATGTTTAGGACTACATTACACATTAATTACTGTGGTCATGTTTATAAATTTTTAGTAACTTTGACCCCACCATTAAAACGGATTAGAAATATAAGTTGCAGAGTTTTCTAAAGCCTGGGTTTTACTGTTTCTATCCTTCTGGTGTCATTTAACATGTTCCTCTGTCCAGCGTATTTCCTGTAAGTTGTAGTTAGAATTAAGAACACCACCATACAACAGAAATATGAGCCACAAATATAATTTTAAATTTTATAATACACATTTAAAAAAGAAAAAATAACAATTAAAATTAATTTTAATAATACAATTTTATTTAACCCAATATGTCAAAAAATATTATGTATGTAGTCAATATTAAAAATTATTGAGATAGGTTACTTTTTTTTCATATAAAGTTTTCGCTATCTGGTTTGTATTTTACATGTACAGAACATCTCCATTTGGCCTACTCACATTTCAAATGCTCAGTAGCCATGTGGGACTAGTATTGAATACAGTAGACCCAGGGACATCATCAGATTGAGGTTCAATTTTTGGTCAAAATACCCGATAGGTGGTGGTGTGTACCTCCACACAGAAGCATATGTCTGGTGGCCTTTTTGTGATGTTGGCAGTCATTGATTATCATTGTCTACACCCAATAATTCATTAAAGGTTCCAAAATGGTGATACTAGAATTTTAAAATTCCTTCTTCATTTATTAGATGGAATACTTCTATCAAGAGAAACATCTCATCAACTACTTGGGTTACTTGGAATAATATGCAAGGGAAGTTAGAAAAAATGGTTGATCTCTTCCTTTTATTTGCTAGTTTTTAAAATAACGATTTTGGTTTCCTTGCATTTTCCAAGGATGATCAATACTATTTTATTTTAACAGCATCATTAGGAATTCATGAATTTTAATATTTGATGTGTTTCAGTTCATTGCAGAGTTAACTTAATTGCAGAGTTCTGATACCAACAAAGCAGTTTATGATATTCCAGGTCCATCTTGTACACTTCCTTCCATAGACCTGTAATCATCTATTTCTTCAGGGAGCCTTTGATTCCTTTTAGTGGAAAATGGTATGTAGAGAACATTATCTGTGTGTGAAAGGTTGAGCAGGTTCTGTCTTTTCAGAGAACAAAGCTAGAGAATATGTATTTTAATAAGATAATATTCATCATGAATTCATGATAATGTTTCCTATTCAAATTCAAGTGGAGGACTTTTTTTACAGTGTCCTTTTCCCTGTCAAATTTCAAATTTTATTGACATGAATACAATTATTCATTTGCTGTATTCATAATACACACGTGTAACAGTCGAATAAATATAAGACTACCACTAGCAAAATGATTGCAAAAGTCAGCTTAAGATACTTTGCAGTTGTTTTTGTCCTTATGATAAGATTCCGCTAAAACAGTCAAATATACTGTGTTTTACAGTCACTTGGAATAGTCCCTTAGGTGCTGTTCTGCCACCTACTGGATAGACAGGCTCAATAGTCTTATTTTACTTTTGATGTTTAGGAATCACTTTATTTTAAATTTAATTTTGCTTTATAATAACGCAAAGCTTTCCATGACTCTAAAGTCAAATTTACAAAACAAGTCTAGTTTTTCTCCCTGTCTCCTCAATCTTATTTCCTTTCTTTACCTTTAAATATTTTATCTTTAAATGCTGTGATTTATATGTCCGTTAGTATATATTTGTACATAATTTGTAGACAAATTATACAAAATTGATATATATTTGTATTTTTTATCCCCTATCTCCTTTGTTAGATAATTGGTAGCATACTATACAGAGTTTTCTCCACCTGAAACATATACATTATTATTAAAAGTTTATATGTATATAACCTGGAGTGTTGGATTTTGCTTTGTTAGGTAATCTGGAAATCTTTTTATAAATGTAAATGTAATCAGTAAATGTATTTTTAGGATCCAAATGCTTGGCATCACCTTTGTCACATATGTTACACGTATTTCCATCCATACAAGCATGCAAACATATTCACATCTATATACCCGTGACTACCTCTATCTTTATTGCCTTACATTTCCACCCTTTTCCTATGTGGTCGATATCAAGGCTGCTCCATGAACTGTTTGCTACCAAGCTATGATGACTTGTGAATAGACAGTAAAAACAACAACAACAACAAAACACATTTAGAAACATTTAAAGTAATTTGATATTGCCACTAAATTCAAGTATATGATTTTGTATATTACAAGTGTCGCTTACAAATTATTGCGGAAAACATTAGTCCTTCGCTACAGAGTCTGAAAAGCACCTGCCTACATTATTTGCTTGTGTGCATGTGTTCTCTCTCGCGCGCCTATCTTTCTGTTCTGTGGGTTTTCTTGAGACAGGGTCTCACTCTGTCATCTAGGCTAAAGTGCAGTGGCACCAATATAGCTCATTGCAACCTCAAATTTCTGGGATCAAGGGATTGTCCCGCCTCAGCCTCCTAAACAGCTGAGACTACAGGCACATGCCACTGTGCCTGGCTACTTTTTAAAATTTTTTGTAGGGAATAGGGTTCTCACTTGGTTGCCCAGGTTGGTCTTGAACTCCTGAGCTCAGGCAATCCTCCCACCTCGGCCTCCCAAAAAGCTGGGATTACAGGTGTGAACCACTGCACCCAGACTCTTTTTGTATTTAGAAATGTTTGTGGTATTTTGTTCTGAGCCCTTTATTAACATCTTTATATAATCTAGAATTTTATTAATATCTGTAAATAATACCTTTAGTCCCATTTTTACTTTTTTCCCCCATCCTACTATGAATAAAATTGAAATTAGCTAATAATCCCTTCTTCACCTTCTCCCCTGTTCCCTGGCATCTATTTTCAACAGGTATGTTTTTATTCTCCATTGATATCCTTGAGGCAATCACAGAGCTTATTCTACTTTTTATATTCTCTTTCCAATTTATGCCCCTCCTCATTTTTTACAGTTAATTGCATATAGAGAAAATGGCCATCACATTTTATACTCTCTCCCTTGTAAACTACAGACATTATGAGTTACACAAAAATGTCTACTTAATGTTCACCGCCAGTTCTATTGTCGATGTCTCTTTAGTCATATTGGTTTTCCGAGGCTTGGTTTCCATAAATTCCCCAGGAAAGGCTCATAGGAACATTACTCCCTGAGTTCTTGTATGTTTATTAAGAATTGTGACTACGGTATTTAAAGATCAATGTTGCTGGGTATAAAATCTTTAGCTCACATCTGCTTTCCTTAATATTTCTTAAATATTTTATACCATTGTCTTCTGGCATAAAGCATTGTCAAAAAGTCTGATGACAATCTGATTTTCTTTCTCTTATAAGGGATACTGACCTTTTAATTAGTGCCAAAAAAACCCCCTTTTTTCCTTTTATTTAAAGGTCAATAGTTTTACTAGACTATGTTTATATGTGGCCCATTCTGGGTCAATAATTTTACTAGACTGTGTTTATATGTGGCCCATTCTGGGCCAATTCCACCAGGTATGTCCTTTCAAATGTTGGGCAAGTATATTTTTAGGTCAGAAAAGCAGGTTTTGAATTATAATTGATAATATTTGTTCTTTCATTACATTGATTTTCTTTTTTAGGAACTTCTATTTCATGTTCTTTGGTTCTCCTATTCCTACTGTCTATGCCTTTTTCATATATATTTTTAAATCTTTTTATTTTAAAAATATTCATTCTTTCCTTTTCTATTTTTCTTAAGGAACTTTCTGTGGTGTTCATTCACTATTTTGTTTCTTCTAGTCTAGATTAAAATTTCGAAATAAGTTTTTCCTTCAACTCTAATATTTT